CGCCCAAATGGTTAGGTACTGTCTGGGAGCCATAGAGTGCACATTCATTCATTAATTGTGATTTAGTAGAGTTTTTGCGTCGTCATTCAGTCGATATGTATATGCAGTCGATATCCGAGAGTTGGGGTAGGCGTGTCACCGGAACGAAGTGGTCATCGCCGCACTTGATAGAACGCGTGGATAAGCTGCTTCCAACATACATCGCTGGATATCAGCAAAGCATGCTGGCAACAGCTTATCCACGCAACTTCTATCAAGTGCGGCGGCAGCCACGTCTTCCTGACACGCCTACCCCAACTTTCGGATCTGGACTGTGGTTGAGGTAATATTTCATATATGTTAGGTGCTCAAAGCGTTGGCACTCATTCGGTCAGACAAGCTTGCCGACGGTTTCGAAATCATCAACACCTTAGACGTTCCTGGTGCCCATTTCGATGACAGCACGTTGCAGGCCTTCGTTCATTGCTTCAAGGTATGCTTCATGAGGCCATTTTTTATTAACGCATGGTGATGTAACTCGCGTCATTCTTCTGCACTAGTTTTTTGAATGGTTACCAGACGGCAATGTCAACGATCCTGCGAATGCACTGTTGTGCTACCGCTTCGACGAAGCGTATCAAATCCTGAGAGCATCCCGATCGCTCACTCCTTGCGTCGCTGGGATCGCTAGTTTTCATCGGCCTTTGCCTGACGCATATGCCTTTTTTCATTTACAAATCCACCTTTCTGATTCGGATTCCAGCAGTCTTGCAAGAGATGCTCTCCTTCGAGACGTATCCGTTTTAAAATCTTCGATAAGCACACTATCGCGCTGGAAAAAATGCTTGAACTGTGTCAACTGGTTCACACCTTAGATGCTCCTTAAACTCAGGTGCCCGCGTTGGGTGCAGCATAATTATCACAGAAGACTTAATGTCTTCGAGTTGCTTTCAAAGACTCGCAGGCGGATCTTTCAACATAGTCCTAGAACAATGATGGAGGCCTAACATCTATTCTGTTTTCTTTTTATGTTATACTGCCATTCATTACCTCCATGTACATGTGCTTGATGTGATGGAAGTCTGTAGTAGCTATCGAACCTTTTACCCACAATTGATCAGCTAAGGGAATTGATTAGCCGGCCTCGCTGTTCTGGTGTGCTCCGTTGCCAGAGCCAAGAGCTAAAACGGGTGTTCGCTGCAGCGAAGTGTAGAGCGATAATTGAACGACAACTTTGTGAACCTTCAATATCCGCCGTTTTGTGAGTAACAGTATTCTTGTCACACTTTTAATACATTCAGTGCTTCTTATATCTATCTTCTCATTCTTTCTTTGTCGAGTTGAAGATTCATAATGATGTCAAACGGCGAATATCAAAATAATGTGAACGCGTTTCACTTGCGATCATTATCGACAATTTGCGAACACATGCGTTGAGCCTGGCTGGTTCCCAGTTACCATCAATTTCCTGAAACTTTCTATTAATCAAGTCAGTACGGAAATAAAGCGAACTGTGGGGGCCAGAATGCTAGGATAGTCCTCAAATTTTGATGTTTTCATACGAATAAAGTTTTGCATCAGGTGTTCATGTTGATCTCCCTGAAGCCCATCTGATTTCCCAGCGTGCAGCTTTCATTTTTCTTCGACTCAATTAAATACTTCTTTCACTCATGCGATGACGCCCTTGCCGTGCATGTCCACTACTTATGCTGGATGTGGGCATGAGCTGTTTTCAAATCCTAAAATCATGAAAAAGGAGCCCAAGGGATGTAGGCGGGACCACTGAGAGCTAGTTGTTGCGCGTAAGATTGATCTACAGGATTGTTGATTGATTTGAGTGGCGTGATGAGGCAATAGATAAACCTTTCACATACGTCGAAGCAGATGAATGAAATTGTGCACTTTCGCAGAGGGTAATGCGCACCTTCTACTACAGAAGTATTTTTCTCAATTAAATACAAACAAGCACGTGACCCATTTTCTACGAAACTGGGTTCTTTCGCAGAGGGTAATGCGCACCTTCTACTACAGAAGTATTTTTCTCAATTAAATACAAACAAGCGCGTGACCCAAGTTTCTACGAAACTGGGTCCTTCTTGAGGGACTTCACAAAACGCTACATTAAGGAAGCTGGTTGTCCAGACAGAATAACAACACTCTATGAGCGAGCGGTTGCGGTCTCCCCAACTGAACAGAATCTTACCCATCTTTTTATGGCTCACGTTAGGAATAGGTGAGTGATTCATGAAAATATGTTATTATGTTTTTACACGATTAGTTTTTAGATCGTATAAAAATCAACAGTTGGTGGCAATGCGTTTGTTCAAGGAGTTTAACAACACTCCCTATTTCTTTTGGGGTGTAATGAGTATAGTTATGCAGGTGCGTTAATAATTCTTAGGAAATTCTTAATTCTTCTATTCTCTAATTCTTTTATTGATTTTGTTAGTCATTCCTATTTTTGGAATTCTTCAGGCTCGTGAAAGTCCCGAAATGGGCGCAAAAATGTTTTACCCTCTTGCAGCAAGGATGGTGGAAAATCACATATCAAAGCACGGATACAAAGCAGGAGCAGGTATGATGTAGTCGATGCCCTTTTTTCAGTAATTTCCGGCGCAGCTGCTCGTGGTTTTCTTGCCGTCTTATTTTGTCCTCCTCGGTAATGGCTTTGAAATGATTTCTTAGTGGATTCGTGAGATCAAAAACGCGAATACGCTTGGGAACAAATTGAAATGAATCCGCTGTCGTACTGAATATCTGGTTCGGTAGAGCGGTATGGACCGTGAAACGGCCACTACGAGCAATCATACCAAGTGCAATCAATTATTTATTAGCCAACAGTATATGACAATTCAACGCGGACATTAGGACGACGAAAAAAAGTTACAATGCGGAAAAAACAAGGAATGAAACGGGGGATAAGCCCGTAGTTCAGTGGAATAGTGAGGGCGGAGAAGAGGCTCGACAAGGGACAGTGCTCCAGAACCTCACACGATGTCATCTTCCCTTTTTATATGTTCTGTTTCCCACCCATGTCTCTTTTCTTCCAGGGGGCAGATCGCTGACCTGCTCAACACGCCCCCCCCCCCGGGTGCCGATTCCCACATCAGATGATGCTCTACTTTCTTTATTTGTGGAAGCATTTCTATTCCATTTTGCTTTTTTCTTGCACATTCGTACAACGACTTCACAGAACGTACGACATACTTCGAGTCACCATAATGTAATGTCGTTCCTGGGGTCCCTAATTCAGAAAATCCCTGTCCGTTTTACATTTTCAAGTCGCCTTTGTCGCTTTTCACGCGAATATCGGCGCCTCTGAATGCTGAAGTACTCAGTTTATTCACTCTAACTTTTGCTTCCCTTCCCTTCTATTTCTGCTAGTTACCATACCTATCCCTGCCATCTCTTCTTTCTGACCTTATAAACAGCTGTACCCTATGACGCCGTCAAACTCGGCGACGGACAAGCGATGGAGCGATCGCGATCGCTCCATCGCTTGTCCGTCGCTTGCCAATCGCTCGGCCGAGAGCGATTGGCAAGCGACAATGCGACGGCTCTGTCCGCGATCGATCCCGCACCGAAAAGGGTCAACCCTATCGTTGTTACTCTTTGGAAATTTTTTACGACCCCCCCCCTTCATGGGTGATTTGATACGACCCCCCTTGTATGTGACACTTGTGTAGAGACAGTGTTTACCATCAATATTTATTTCTACGTAAGTCATCAAAGATGAAACTTTAGCAAAATCCACGACAGATATTCATCGCTGCTTCCAAACACGAAAAAATGAGATGCATTCAAAGATATCCGTGTACTCCAAAGGGTTACCAAACTAGGAGATGAAATAAGCTGAACCAGTGACCGGAATATTGACAACATTACCTGATAAAAACTTATAAGAAGTCAGAAAAAATTATCGCTCCAATTGAAATACTGAAATCCTTCACGTTCTTCAATTGCAACACAATTTTTACACCCCTCTTTCTAAGGCTATAACTTCCTTCATATTCGAGCTTCTGCGCCGAAGTGATTTGATTTGGAAAATTCAAATTATTCTCTCTCCAACCATGGGTAAAAATTCTTCGAAAGTTAATTTAATAAAAATTTAGTACGTTGTTACTTTTTTCTGTGCAAATGCGACTTTTTGACCTTCAAACGATCATAACTTCCTTCAAAGTCATTCATTTGGGAAGCTGAACACGGTATAATAAACTACAGGATTCAAGCTTTCTAACGAGCACCCAAGCGTTCCTGAAAGATCAGTAGTTCAAAAATTAGTCCCGTTGTTACTTTTTTGGGGGTTTGCGTTACTATTTTTTGGAACCGCGACTTTTTTACCTTCAAACGATCATAACTTCCTTCAAAGTCATTCATTTGGGAAGCTGAACACGGTATAATAAACTACAGGATTCAAGCTTTCTAACGAGCACCCAAACGTTCCTGAAAAGTCAGCAGTTCAAAAATTAGTCCCGTTGTTACTTTTTTAAGCCATTTTCCCGAAAACGCGGGTTTTCTTAGGTTTCACTGCCCGTAACTTCTTGGAAGACCAATTCATGTTTAATTAGGATGTGCTAGAAAGCTTCGAGCATGCGCTTGCACTACATCCCTTGCCTTGGTGCGCGCCACGCCTCGGGCGCCCTTCTAATTCGCTGATTCATTTGAAAGCTCATTTAGAGGGAAGCGTGGTTTATAGATGCTCTAGTATCAGTCATCTTACGAAAACGTAACGTGCTGGCTATTATCCGATATTACCAAGAATCCCACTGTCGGCCACCGAGAGAGGTACGACCCCCCTCCAAGCTCAACTGAGTACGACCCCCCCGTTGTTACTCGTAACAACGTAGGGTTGACCCTGCTGAGCTTGGAGCGGGGTCGTACTCGGGTTGACCCTGCACCCGACTGCAGGCTAGTCTTGATTTAGCGAAGAGGAAATGCTTACACAGAAAGACGCAGAGATCGTGCGCGGCGACTGGCCCCCCTCGAACCACATTGCGCCGCACCCCTTAAAGCCACGAGTCAGGATTAGGTGACCATAGAAGGCCTTTCCATCACTAATATTTCCAGGAATGCGCTCAGAGGGGTGATGCCACACTCCTGACTCGAGATTGCGCGCCGTCAAGGCCTCTGGCCTACTACTTACAGCGATGGGTTCGTTTCATCAGCTGGTCCCGCCCACCGCGGGATGTGGTGCGTGGCTGGCCTAACGTGTGAGATCAGCTAGGTTGATTGCCGTATCAACCGATGGAACGGCTGGCATATCCGGAAAACTCGTTTGGACGTGGCTCTCCCCCGAGCAAGCCTCCTTCACTGCTAGAAGGGAAGGGGTTTCGATTTCGGTCTTGTCGACGGTTTCTTTGCGTTTTTTCTTCACTGTCGTTCCACCTCCCATCTCTACACTCAATTTCAGGCGCCATAATGCCCAAACACGAGCCTGACTTTTGCCTTTAAGGCTGCTTTCCTAGTCCGCGCCGTCGCGGACGCTGTCCGTACGGACAACACAAAGAGATTGCGCATTCGCGTGCCAATCGCGATCGCTCCATCGCTTGTCCGCCGTCGAGTGCGACGGCGGTCTAGGCTTTGTAGCGCATCACTCCTAGGAGAATCTCCTTATCATTGTATCCGCAATTTGAAAGGCTACGACAGCCGTGTTACCTCCTTCTAGATCTACTTGCACTTGAACAGCTCCCAAGAAGTTCATACGATTGCACGTGCACCGGTACCATGGATTCCTCTAGCAACACTTCCAAGTTTGCCGTACCGAAACCTTCTTTTCGGGCGCGTGCCAACATTTCCACCGGAATAATACTTATCATAGAACCTGTGTTCCACATTGCAGGCACTCGCACATCTAACGAGCCCACCCTGACACCATGTTCCCTACCAATGGCATCCTCGAATGCTCAACTGCTCTTACTCCTAGACTTCGCGCTTTGTAAACTACAGGGTGGTCCAAAATTATGAGGACCGCGTGCGCGCGCGGTCATATCCACTTTTTTCCGAGTCGCTCCATTTTCATCTCCTTTTCTGTGCACTATGTGAAAGGGTACAATGTCTTCTTCCTAATGAAACCAAATTTCATGCAGTTCTCAAAACTAGTGAAATAACTACATCACCTTACGTCAGTCCTCAAATTGAACTCACTAGGGGCTCTGGCACGTTACATCTAGCGGCAGTCTAACGTATCAGGGAAGCTCTTATGAGCAACAGTTCAACTCTTCAATAAGTTTGGAACCACCACAGATGGAAAATTCGGAGACTCGAAAGTTACAGTTACCACCAGGATAATTATCAGATGCAGAAACTAGGTCTCCCCTTGTCGACTTTCGTACTCCCAAAATGAAAAAATTGATGTGAAAACCCAGCCAGACACTCTAAAGACTCCACATCTGTAGTGGATAGAAAGCCACTCGAGTAGTCTACTTGGGACTTTTTACAGGACCGAGCACCCAAGAATAAAGCAAAAATCCTCTAAAAAGCGATTTTTCGAGTTCGTTGCTTTCGAAGAATTGTTACAATGGAACCTTCCACCTATAGCTCTAGATTTCTGTATTTTACACCCTGGAGGCAAGTGCAAATAAATGCCCCACAAAAACTTCGATCCCCTGAAGAAAGCAGAGCAGAAGGCTGG